AGCCTCAACACCCCTTCTACAAGAGTGAGAGCAGGTGAAGCAGCCTCCTGCCCCTCTGGATTTGTACAGGGGCTGAGAGAGATGCATACATAGTTATTCCAAACAGTCTCCTGCCTCAGCCCTTTGCCCAGAGAGAGGCTAGGCTGGATATTAATAGCAGTCTAATCACACTTGCATTCTTTGGGTGCTAAATGAAAGCAAAAATCCCAAGCTGTAAGAACAAAACCCTCCCTTCTGAGAAGACTGAGTCACCCCAGCGAGGTCCATGAGGCTGGCTTAACTCCTTGCTTTCCACAAGGGCCTCTTGGCTCTTCCCCTGACATCTAGCTTAGCAGAGCCAGTGAGAACCACACAGCATGCAGGCCATGCTCCTGGGACACTGTGGCTTCAAGTGAGCGGTTTGATCTTTTGTGAGCAGGTCACCAGGTGCTGAGAGAGAGGCCAGCAGGCTTGGCCCTACAGGGACCTACAGAGTTAGGCAGGTACACTGGGCATGCCTGCCACTGCAATTCCTGGGTGACGTCTTCAGGCCTCTGTCTTTTGCCAAATGGAACTAATTGTATCACCAGTGCTGTCCTCCCATTGCCACTGCCCAGGGAGGCTGAGAGCACTGCGGGTATTTCTGTATAGACTATTCATGTCTTCCCCCTGACTCCTGAAGACAGCCTGGTGCTCCCTGAGGCCTGGCAAGCCATTGGGACCTACCAGGTGGGCCGAGTTTCCTTTGTCTACCATTGATACTTCAAGTTCTCTGGGACAATGAGCACAGGAAGGCCCTGATGGCTGCTGGGAATAGAATGAAGGTATGTGGCCCCAGTTGCCAGAGCCCTCCTGCCTTCCTGCCTTCCTGCCTGTCCTCTGACAGCCCACAGTGTTCTGAGGTAGCTCTTTATGGGACAGAGCCTATGCCTTGGACCTAAGTGTGAGGCTTCTGGGCATGAATGGGTCAATGAACAAGTCTCGGCACAGCTGTGTGACTGGACAAGTGAAAAGTAAGGCCAATGAATGGGCTGCTGCCTCCCTCTGTGAATGAGCACATTGTCACACCACATACTAGGCGTGTCCACATACTAGGAGCGTGAAACCTCAAGCTGGGCAGGTACGAATGGGTCACAGCTCATGTTTGGCGGTCAGAGGACATCCTCAGATGTCAGTTTAGTCTGCCACCTTATTTGAGCAGGAGCTCTTGTTTGTGCTACGCACAGCAGGCGAGGTGGCCTACCAGCCTCTCGAATTTTCCTGTGTTCTCCTCCCATCTTTCCTTTGGAGCAATGGGATTCCAGATGCCTGCTGTCATGTTCAGTCTTATGTGGGCTCTGGAGATTTGAACTCAGGTCCTCACGCTTGTGTGGCAAACACTTTATCCATTGAGTCATCTCCCTAAGCTGGGCTCCTTCCTTTACCCTCAGAAGACACTTGGCCTGACAGCCAAGGGTTCAGTGTTCCCTCTTCTCCATGCTTCTGGGAGTTTATACCTTGGCTCTACCTGCTGGAGAGGGGCTTGCACAAGGCTCTTTGGCTGTACTCTGGGTAAGAGAGAAGATGACGCCTTTGGACTCAGACTTACCAGCTACACAGCTTTACTGATTGTCTCTGAGCCTTGGTGTTTTATCACATTAAATGAAAGTAATTAAACTTACAGCAAAGGGTTGGTGGTGGGGGTAGCTCAGTGGCAGAGCACTTACTTAGCATGCTCGAGGCCCTGGGTTCAATTCCTAGTATTGCACAAAAACAAAACTAAATAAACACACACCCTCTCTCATAGGGATTAAGCATGAGGATAGCACTTGACCATACACAGTAGTGTGGGATACTGAGTAGGGAAACTGATGTATGGATGACAAAGGTATGTTATTTTGCTTTCTTTCATGAAGTGGGCAAAATATCTTAGGATGGTTTGGGGATGTCTAGCCTCTTCATGTACACAAATGACTGGATGGTTATCCCCGCAGAGGCTCTTGGGTAGTTTGCCTTAAGTACAAAGGTAACTGAACCCTGTCTTGTTTGTTTCTCCTCTCCATGCCTCAGTTTTCTTTCCTGTAAAATGGGCTAGGTTCTGTTTAATTGTTGGTAAGAGTCCAAAGAGCTGATTGGTTCTTGGCATGACTCACTTAACCTGACCTGGCTGGAGAAGCATCAGGAAATATTTGGAAGTGGATTGAAAAGGAGGCAGGGAGACAAACATGACTCAGTGTTCTCTCCTTTTATGGGCTGGCACTCAGACCCTGGCTTCCTGGAGGTTGTATTCCAAACTGTGCCCTGATGGATGTGAGGTCCACATGCCCATGAGCCCCTGCAGACCCCCCAGATGTGAGTTACCCTGCCGGCTGGGCTGGTTTTTGCCTTGCTATTTTAAGCAGCAAGTTTATAATAATGGGTGGGAAAGCACACCGAGCCCGAGCAGCATGGGAATGACTTGCAGCGGACCACAGGGGCTCCCCTGGAGCCGCACGGACTCCATCTTGTTCAGCTGTGGGACTGCAGCCAGCCTTCATCTTGCTGCAGCCAGCAACTCCAGGTTTGTCTGACCTTGTTCATGAGGTTTTATTTCTGGCCAGGGGCTGGCAGAGGTCTTTCTTCAAGAGAGGGGAGTGCAGGGTTGGATGGGATATTTCTGGTACAGTTTTATAATCCTAGGATCGCTGAACGAACCCTGGGCTGGGAGCATCCTTGTGGCTGGTTGTGACTAGTTAAGAGTCCAGGACTTCGGAAAATGGAAAAGGCCACTGCTGTGGTTGGAATTCCCATGACCCCTTGAGCCAGCCAGTATTGAACGTCTCCCAGGAACAGGAAACACTTGACCTTGACGAGCACTGTCCTGCATCTTTAGTTGGCTCCAGACTCTAGAAAAGGTTCCTCTGCCTTCTCACTTGGCCGCATATACCTGTCCTTTGGAGTCCCCAGGGCCACATGACTGCCTTTTAGATATTGGAGAAGAGATTGCTTTCCCTTGCGGCTTCTCTGGCCCAGGCTAAAGTCTTGAGTTCTTAAACACAAATTCTTGTCCCCTAGGATCTTCTCTTTTCTGAACATGGTCTTGTTTGTCTGAATCCTCGTTTTACAGGACACAGTATGCTTTGTGTAGATTAAGAGCCAAGCGGAGAGTGGAATGGCTGCCTCCCACACTTTGGAAACTGTTCCTGTTAAGATAGGTTGGACTTGAGGGGGTGAGGCAGTGACATTACCTGAGAAAGTGAGCCAGCTTGTTGTTACCCTCAACCACCCCTGTTCCAGTGAAGTCCCTTCCCCACCGCTGATGCCGTTGCTGCTGACATTGGTGTCTAAGGAAAGATGTTCAAAGTTCCCAGACAGCACATTTTGAGGGACCTGATATTCATTTTCTTCATCCAGTAGTCTCTGGGGAAGGAAGACACAGTGGTCTGGCCCCACAGCTCTTAGTCTCTTAAGTCAAGATAAATCTGTTTGGAGCCCAGCCAAGTGTGGCTTCTTTTCTGTCCACTCATCTACCCTGCCCAGCCCCGGGCTATTCTGCAAATAGATAAGTTCCATTCAAGTTTCTCTGTTATGGCTCAGCTCAAACACCCCCTGTAACAGCCATTACTAAACCACATCACGCTCCCCGTCTGCATAGTTAGGGGCTCTTTAATTCCTCTTTTTTGCAGTGTTTATGCAGATCACAGTTTTTTGGTTGCCTCCCAACACTGGACTCAAGGCCCCATGAGGGCCCAGACTATATCCTCTCTTTGTGTCACAGCTCAGGTCACAGGCCTAATAGAAAAAGTTTGTGAAGAAAGAATGAATGATTCAGCCAGACATGGCACAGACCTGGAATCCCAGCACCTGGGATGTGGAGAAAAGAGAATCATTCAGTCTCAGCTACATAATGAGTTCAAAGCAAACCTGGGCTACATCAAACCCTGTCTTAAGCCATAAAAAAGAAGGAAAAAAAATCAGTGTATGAATGGCCTAGTTGAGATGAGATTTCCAAGATGACCAGCAGGGGTCGCCCCAAATGCTTCAATGCCCCAAATGTTTCAATGTTGAGTGGGCTATCGGGGTAAAAGACAAAAGCCACGACAGCGCCCCCTTTGACAGCTCCTGTACTAAATGTCTCCAATTCTTTAAGCATAAACATGGTTTAAATTATTTAGACCACCAGTTTTTGATGGATCTTTGGAATATTCATAACGAATCAGACACCTTCCCTGCTTTGGAGACCCGGGTCCAGAGGGTGGTGTGTGACTGGGGGACGGGGGGGTGGGGGGGTGGGGTGGGGGTGGGAGTAAGAGCTGATGACAACAGCACTCTGGTTTAAGGAACTTTCCAGGCCCTCTCTGTGGGAAAGGAAGGATATCTTCTGTCATGGGAAGCAGCAGAGCTTTCTGGCTTTTCCTATAGGCTCTAGCAGTCAGCAACCACGCACTGAGGAGCTGGGACACAGTTGTTACTCAGTTAATGGTGTTGTCTTTTGTTCTCCCCATGAGGAGGAAGCAGACCGCAGGAAAGAGTGTGTGGTATAGTGGGAAGAGCTGGGGCCGCCAATCAAGAAGACCTGGGTGCAAGCACTTAGTTTTCTGTGTGACTCAGGACAAGTGGCTTCCACCCTGAGAGGCTCTTCCCGCACCTATAGAATGGGACTATCGATGCCTACCCTCATCCAAGGCCATCCTGTGAGCTTGACAATGGCAGTCATGCAGCCAGTAGGAGCTCGGAAGATGGCGTACAGATGGCCTCTGATCTCAGCGAAGTATTCTCCCTCAGCTATAGCTTTGAGGAGCTGAAATGTTTCTCTTCTGGAATAGATGTGTTTACTGTAAGGACCAAATTAGATGCAAAAGGTCACTCTTGCCTGTGTAAACAAAGCCAGGGAGCGGGAGGCAATGCGATTCCCAATGCCCGCTCCCAGCCTCTCCCCGCCTGACCTCCAGGGTGGATGTAAAACCAAGCAGCTGATCTGTGGCTCTTGGGTCTTGGAAATGGGACCTAGCTGGGGACAGGGATGGAGAGGATTTTGACTTGTCCTTTTGGCATCTCCCCAGCCTGCGGAGCGCAAGCCTCTTGGAGCATCTTTGGGGTTGACACAGCAGAGGTTCCAGGCACACACAGCCACTCCAGCCAGGAGGCTGCCATGCCCCACATTCCTGAGGATGAGGAGCCCCCTGGAGAGCCACAGGCAGCTCAGACCCAAGTAAGTGCCCCTTCCTGTCCATGGCTAGCCTGGCTGGGGGCCAAGCTGAGCATTCTGGGCTGAGGCCACCGCTTTCAAGCTGGCCACAGAGTGCAGGAACAGCAGTGCAGGCTGCGGTGGGTGCCTGGGGAAGGTGTGTGGCTCTCTCTCTGGAGAATATGCTACCCTGAGATCATTTAAGTGGCCGGGGTCCCAGAATCCTGAGTGTGGAACCATCTGGATAGTGTATGACTAAGGCTTCCTGAGATTTCAAACCACCTTGGCCCCGAATGCTCCCTTCTGCACTTGAGAACGATGTAGAAGAGACAGGGTAGCAGACATAGCCAAAGGCCGCTTTGAAACAATATGCTTCAAGTGAATATCGAAAGTTCACAGTAAAGGATAGGACAGGGTTTCGGTAAAAGTTGATAATAAAATAGAATATGGTTTTTAAAGTGTTCATTAAGAGTATTCTCATTGAGGCAGGTATGGTGGCTTATGCCTGGAGTCCCAGCCTTCAGGAAACTGAGGTAGCAGGTCATCATGGGTTTTAGACTAGCTTAGGCTACAGACTGAGACCTTATCTCAAAAAACAAAACAAAACAAAAATCCAGACAAATAACAAAAACAATGGCAATAGCGTATCATTGAGGTTTTTTTTTTTCAAATTAAATTAAGAAAAGCTATCTTTAGCTATATATAATCATAAAGTATAGGTTATATGTTTATTTTCAAATTGAACAAAGGATCCAGTGTTTTGGTGTTGATATGTATGTTATTTGTTTTGTTTTTGTATATGTAGTGTATGCATATGTGTCTATGAACATGGAAGCCAGAGGCTGACGTTGAGTGCTTCTTCTATTATTCCCAACTTATTTTGTGAGGTAGGGTCTCTCCCTGAGCCTGGAGGTCACCAATCCAATAAGACTGGCTGAGCAGAAAGCCCTAGGGGTGTTCCTGTCTGTTTCCCATGCTACCCCTGTCCTTTTTTACGTGGGTGCTAGAGATCCAAACTTAAGTTCTCATGCTTCTATGGTAGGGACGTTCTGATTGGGCCATCTCCCCGGCCTCTGCTTATTTTTTTTTTTCCTATCAACCAAACAATGTGTTCACATGATACTACATTCTTCACATTTGATTTCATAGCAACTCTGTCAAGAAGATGTTTAAAATGTACGGCTATGCCCATTTCCCCAAGATACTGAAGCCACTCTCTTTTGAAGAACCTATCTTGATATCATCCTCGTTTTTTCTTTATCTGGTCCCTGGCCCAGCTCCGTCTGGCCCTCCTGGATTACAGACCTTACTTATGAAGGTTACCACCACTACTTTCTTGGACTTGAACTTTACAGTTGGTTTGCACTGAACTTGTGCGATGCTCTTGTATCTGACTATGATCCATACTGACCAGAGCCAGATGAAAGAGACTTACGAAGCCAGAGTGTGTGAGTGAGCATCATTTTTTCCAGATGGACAGATTCCTAGTGAATGTTTTCATATTGTGATGACATTTGTTTTCTTACATATTATTACCGTGGGAACTAAGAAAGCAAATATTTAGAAATGAATAGTCCCTTGTATCTCCATACCCCAAGTTCGTGTGTCTGAGATATGAACTTGGCAGCTTAGGGATGAGGGAATATCTTTTCCTTCAACGTCTAAAAAAATAAAAAGAAAACAATGAGCCAAACTCCCATCTCTCCATCTGCAGACCATAGCTCAAGGTTCTAAGGAATGCCCCACAGCTATCCTGGGGCATCTTGGGCTATGGTAGGTTCTGTTCATGAGCAACTTGGAAGGCAGTTGAGGTCTGGGGGCTTGGGGGAATGAAAACGGAGTGACCACAGAAGGCAAACACTGGTGAGTGGATTCAAGTGTGGCTGCTCCCAAGCCTCGCTGGATTTCTTCAATCTGTCACTCCTGTAACCCTCTCATAACGGTCATCTCTGACCCCTCCACCTCACTAACGATGCGAACATACTGAGCTCACAGTCTCCTGGATCCCAAATCTTGGGCAATTTCCCCAAACAGCTAACCCAAGAATAAATGTGGGAGTCTTTGTGACCTCCACAGTCAACAGAGTAGCAATCTGTGGGAGGCAAGAAGATAGTTCGGTTCAACACGACTAGGTAGCTGGGGTTAGCTCAAACTCTGGAAGTCTGACTCTGAGTAGTTTGTTTTAGGCATATTTAAACACAGCACAATTTGACAAAAACTTTCCTGGTGATAATTAACTCAATCTCGTGTGCATAATAAAGCACAAAATAAGCTGAATAAAAATCAGACATGATTACACAGAAACTCTTTGCAAAACACCATCTGTAAAAATGGGTTTTATAGATTGAGAAAAACAAGCTTGCAATATGGGTTTAGGGAAGATTCCGGTGTGGTCTCAACCACACATATAGCACAAAGGTCACCAGGCTATTAGCCATGTCCTCTTCCAGCCTTTTGTTTGGATAGCAGGTTATGCATCCCTTCCTTTGAAGGAACAGCCCTGTGCATTTAACATTCCAGGTTCCCCTAGTGCTTGCCTGTGAGCACAAGGACCTCTGTGCCTCCTACAAATAAAAGCACTCCTAAAACAAGTAAATAAAAGATTAGCAAAGATACAACTTCATCCCTTGTAAAGGCTGAATCCCATTCTTCCTACATCTGTAGCTCTCAGCATTTAAGAGAGGGTGCTGCTCTTACAGAGGACCTGAGTTCAGTTCCTAGTACCCACCCACAACTGCCTGCAGCTCCTGCTCCAGGAGGTCTGATGCCCTCTTCTACACACACACACACACACACACACACACACACACACACACACACACATCTTTTTTAAAGTGCTTTAAAATCATATCCTCACAAGACCACAAAAGCCACTCCCCTTATAACCCGTGTGACTGTCAGCTGCGTGTAGGTCCAACTACATGAGGACCAGGGTCGAGATGAAGGCAAGCTTCTTAGTGCCCCAGCATGGGAGGAATCCATGAGCAGGCTCTGGAGTCAAGGATAAGAACCTTGATTGAGCCGGGCGGTGGTGGCGCACGCCTTTAATCCCAGCACTTGGGAGGCAGAGGCAGGCGGATCTCTGTGAGTTCGAGGCCAGCCTGGTCTCCAAAGCGAGTTTCAGGAAAGGCGCAAAGCTACACAGAGAAACCCTGTCTCGAAAAAACCAAAAAAAAAAAAAAAAAGAACCTTGATTGGCCAGAAGGAGCCCTGAATGCCAGTTCCTCACAAGCTACTCCTGCCTGTGACCTGGAGCCAGAACCAGTATTTACAGAATAATGAGGTGGATTCTGATGGTCTCTGAAAGCTTTTCAAGTGCCTTGATTCTGTCTCTGGGCTTGTAGGAACCTGAGGCTATCCTGAAAATGTCTGCAAGTTCCAGTGGCTCTGGCAGTGCTGGAACCTGGAGGAGGATTCTCGAGGGACTCAGGCCACCTCAGATCCGGAAGGTCCGGGTTCCTCAGAGAAGACAGTGAACAGGGTTTAAGATTATGACCACATTGGCCTTGAATCCCAGCTCCTCCATATCCTCATCCAGAGACCTGGAAGTCAAGTCTGTTAGATTTCTCATCCCTGTGCTTCCTTGTATGTTACTCCAAACAGGCATAGCTGTGGCCGCTTCCATTCTGCCTGGTCAGCTCAGCCCTGTAGCAGTTTACACTCTTAAACAGAAGTCTAACTTAGGTCCACATGAGATTCAGCATTCTTTTACTTTCAGGTCTGACTACCAGGCTCTGGGCCCCCCTGAGTTCCCCCAAAGTCAGATAGACTTGGGTCATAACGAGCTCTTGCCCATGCTGAACGCCTGACGCAGCACAGCCTCAGGGGAGGTTCAGATCTCCCAAGCTAGCTGGAGCCTCCAGGGGCAGAAGCCTGGCTCCCTGAGAGCACAGAAGCCAGGCAGCCAGGAAAGTGAGGCTGGCCAGGCAGGGTTCAGCCGGAAGTCCCCATCTGTGTGAATTCCCACTCGGCAAAGAGGCAGGGAACAGAGCATCCTTTCCAGTTTATAGCTCCCCCGGGTCCAGTCCTACTTTGAATACTCTGGTCCCAACCCTCCATTTCCCACCACTAGCCTGAATCCTCACAACAAAAACACTGAAGTTGGAGGGCTAAATTGTTCTCTTCCCTGAAACTGCTAATTGGAAGCTGTAATCAATCCCTGCAGTGAAGCAAAGGCTCCCCGCAATGCTCCTGCAGTGTGTTCTCAGCAGGAGGCATTCTCTGGTGCTCTGACTGAACAGAAGCTGTCAGGACACATGCCTGGATGTTTAGGGACCACAGAATGACAGACTATCAGCTGGAAGGATCCTAGATCAAATGTTTCAGTTTGCTTTCTGTTGCTGTGATAAACACCATGACCAAAAGGAACTTGATGAGGAAAGGCTTTATTTTATCATATGTGTATGTACGCTTCCAAGTATCAGTCCATTACTGAAGGAAGTCAGGGCAGGAACCTAGAGCAGAAATCACAGAGGAATGCATGCTGGCCTGTCTCTTCTTCACTGTGCAGCCTCAGACCCCAGATGCAATGTGGTCAAGTCATCAGTGATTTTTCTCAGCTGTGACCAGAAGTCCTTTAGGAAGCTGACTCACTGGATCCGCATGACATCCTCAGAGGTGCCTAGCACACTTGGGGTGTAGGGGTTCATGATAGTAAAGCCTGAGTTCTACTTGTCCAAGTCCCCCCTCCCTACAACCCTTAGGGGTTTCTAGAAGCCTCCAGGAGCAGGTCACTATGCAACTATATTAATATATTTCACTTTAGATTAAAAAATTACTCTTTAGAAAAATCCATACATTTATACAATGTATTTTGATCCTATCCACCCACTATTAGCTCCTTCAATTCTCCATAGTGCCCACCTATCGCCCTCCCAACATGTCCTTTTTTTGTTATTAATAGCCCCTGAGCCCACTTAGGGCTGCTTATTCCATGTGCACAAAGAGGCACAGTCCACCCACCGGCAGCTTCTTTCTTGGTGGAAAATGACTCTCCCTCTTCAGTAGCTACCAACTGCCAGTAG